AGGTGGTCAAAATTTCCGGAGCCCTCCACTACGGCGTCTCTCATAATCATATCGTGGTTTCGGGACGTTAAACCCCACAAATCAATCAATCAATTCATTTTTATTCTCTCTCTCTCTCCCTTCGTAAAGCATGCAAATTACTTTCACTGTATTTCCAAGAAGACAGGTGGCTCCGCTCTGTGTTACGGTCCTACAATACGAGTCTCCTACAGACTGTGCATATACCGATAAGGAAAAACATGTCGTACGGCACTTCATCAAGAAATGTTGGTGTAGGATAACGAACAGCGTACGAACTAATTATAATTTTTTTTTGCAGAGTTCGTTGGAGGATATCCCAGAATAGAATGGTGTCTTCGCAGCCCACGAAGCAATTCCCTATTGTTTCAGGTACATCGCAGACAGCAATCATCATAGAGACAGTCGAGACGGACACTTTTTTTTTGTAACCAAGTTTTAGTTTGTTTCAGAATGAAGTTTATAAAAGATTTTTTTTAATTGGGAGATATAAGCGTTATGCACACCCGTTTCACCACATCATGGCCTTGCAGATCTAAGTTTAATGAGCGGCACATCGGAATAGGGAAGAGTATAGATAGTCAATTTTTATACAGCCAATCACCAGCTTAAGCACACATTTTATCCGAACGGCTATTCACTTGGAAGATGCTTGGGAAAAACTGGACTTTCAACCAGACTGCATGGTATCCCATCTTGGTGAAGTGCCTATAACATCGCCACCACTTTTCTCGTCCAACGCATGATGGCAAACTCTCCCTATAGACTACAGGACTTTAGCCTTCGAGTTTTTTTTCCAAGCTTTGCTTGTACGCTTGTTGTCTCTATAAGAGTGCGACAGTACAACTTTGTGCGATATTGTGCACTATTTCAATACGCATGCATTCTATTAAACACCATGTTAAAAAAAGGGGGGGGGGGGCGTGACTCTGTGACAGAGTACTATAGCTTATACTGCGCAAACGACACAGGTCCGATTACCCAAAATTTGTTAATATTTATTTTATTTGCATATCTCTCGACTTTTCGGTCACGCACAAGACGATGATTTTTCACTCACGCAACAAACGACGCCAGCGCTATCGAGTTAAAAGCTGAATGAACTCATTATTTGCGGAGTTAGGCGGCTATGTTGAACGGAAAATTGAACTAATTTATGGGAAGAACCCATTGCGGTTTTGACATTTTCAAAAAGCGCCCTTTAACAAAAGTATGGACAAAAATTCAGCGGCGAAATTGAAACCAAAACGCGACAGAGAGTAACTGCCACATTCTTCTTAAACATCCAGAACAAGCCAGCGTCGCCATATCAACCATCAACCGACGTCTCTGTGTGGGTATGCGGGCTGTGCTTGCCGTTATAGAACTGATAGCTCACATTCGTTCAGGAACGCGGAATAACTTCACCTTTTCAATTGTTGTCTCATATACAGTGCACGCCATCTTGTCCGTTTGCTCGTTGCGCTCATTTGTGCTTCAGTTTCGGTTTTGCCGTTGGATATTCTTGAATTTAATTGCACCACAGTAATTACTAGGAGCCACTTCTATATTTCAATCTTGCGCCACGTTTTTCGCATGAGGAGCATCAATTCTCCTTTTTTTCACATAACCACCCAACTCCACTGAGTAAAAACTTAATTAAATTTGGTTAATTACACTCCAGCATGATATCCTTAAACATCTTGAGACGTCTGCGGCTACATAAAAAAAGTTATTGTGAGGGCGACCATTTTCTAGATTTTTTTTTTTAGAATTTCGGACGCATTCAATTCTTGAAACAGCCGGTGTATACCGCCCACAATACACACCCGAACGAGCAACGCATATATTATTTATGATAGGCTGACTTTCTGCATGCGCCTGTGTTCACAAAGTGCCTCTGCAGGCTAAAGATCAATCCCTCGAGCGATAAGGAATCTTTATCTCGGACGCGTAATAGCCAACGCTTATTGCAAATGAAAAGGAGCGTGCACAAAATGTTTTGTGGCGTACTTTAATGTCGGCATCGAATTGCGTGTCTTGATTCGGTCTTGCGTTTCGCCTCTTCGGTGGTGCGTATATAAATTAATCCAGCACTTGCATATATATATTGTACTGTATATCTATATACTAACTCTGAGCACGCCACTATGCTTATACTTTTTTAATGTTTTAGTTGCACTTTACGATAGACCATAGACAATATACTGATTCCATATACGTTTCCATATGGCGAAAAAAAAAAACATTTTATTTTTCGATATTCGCCCTATATACTGGTTTTCAGCTGTTACCTTACTGCCTAAACACTTTTTTTTCGTATTACTTCACATTACAGTATCACTTGGACGCTGACAAACTTATTGTTCCTGGAGAAGCTATATAGATCCCGCACTACATATTTTCCAACATCCCTACTCACATCCAAATAAAGCGCGCTCACACGAAGGCTTTTTCCATTTTCATAGTGTTTGCATTATACCACGAATTTTGCTTTACTTTGGACCACATGATCAGGCAATTACATAATAATAACATGTAGGGTTTTACGTCCGAAAAACGACGATATGATTACGAGAGACGCCGTGGTGAAGGGCACCGAAAATTTTGACCTTCACGATAGTGTCAATTAACGTGCACTGAAATCGCACATTACACGGGCCTGTATACCGTTTCGGCCGGGATCGAATGCGCTACCTTCGGGCCAGTGGCCGAGCACCCTATATATATATATATATATATATATATATATATATATATATATATATATATATATATATATATATATATATATATATATATACCCCGATTCACCGAGACGAAACCGACGTTTTATAGCTATAGTTGGGAAATAATCCGCACTGATTACACGGTATCAGAACATCGTAACAGGGGTATATTTCTAAGTAAACGAACTACGCAATCTAGCAATCAGTCTTGGGAATATAAAAGCAATCGACTGTGTAATCTTGTTTCGCTGTCGTATATTCGGTCTCTCCCAGCTATGAAGTTTGTGCGTACACATCCTCGTTCAAAAGGTTCCCGGAGTAATATCCTGCATTCCTCGGCAATTTCGTTAAACAGTCCTATAGACAGTGTAAAAAATGTATGATAGAAATTCGCTAATTAATAATAACTGCTGTGGTTTAGTGTCTGAAAACTATACGGTATTATTAAGAGAGAGAGACGTCGTTGTGGAGGGCTCAGAAAAGTTAACAACCTTTGGGGGTCTTTACCGTGCACCTCAATCTAAGCGCTGCAGATGAACGATTATGTGTGCATATAGTAAAGTTAGAAGAACGTTTATAGTAAAGTATCTAGTACTCTAAATCGTTACCCACTTTTTTCTAAACATACTCTCAGAATCGAAGTTTTCGAACAGTACGACCACATTTCCCCCCTCTTTTTTAAAACCTGATTAACAAAAAAAGGAAAAACAAAACGCCATCGCACAGACCTATATCAAAAAAGATTGGTTGCATGATTGACTTAGGGTATTACAAAAGGAAATAAAAGGTAAGATTAATCCTAAGTTATAGACATTACGACATAGCTATCTGTCTGAGTGCCATGGTTCTGATTATACGCGTTGCATATACGTCGATGAATCAGTAAAATTTCATGTATTTTTTTTTACCTTTACCAAGTACCCAATTGAATTGTGACATAAGTATACTTGTAAGTACAACAATGTTGCTTTGCATATCTTCAGGCAATCTTATCCATAAATAGAATGTAAAATGAGCATAAATTCTATGTTAAATAAAACATACCGAATACGCAGATTTCAATATACTATTAGGCTCATGCATACTCGGACGAAATTCAATTGCATGGGAGAACAGTGATAGGCCTATGTTAAAGCTGAGTGCTATTCATCAATTTGTAAAGATCCGTCAAATCATCAAACATTTACCAACTAACTGGGAGTGCGCCATCATGTATACGTGTGTGTAAATGTCATGGAATAAGGAAAACTACCGAAAAATGAGGAAGACATACAAGAGGCTAACGGAGAAAAGTCGTTTAAATGATCAAAAAGTGCTCGCAGTTCTGCAAACACGTGACTTGGCGCATCATACTTGTAGCACACATCCATGTTCTGGATTTGTTTTTTTTTTTTTGTACTTTGCTCGCTCTCTCTCGACATCGTGTAAAGGGCGCCGTGGCACGCAACTTTTTTTTTTCTTTTTTTTTTTTGTAGCCGGCACACGCGATGTCTTGTCACTTAAAAGCTAACGCACGGGAGGCGCACGTCGCGTGATTCCGCGAGACTGGAAAAGGCATGCACTCTCTTCACTACTCGACCCCCCCCCCTCCCCCAATCACCTCAACACGCATGCTTTCAACAACACATCTTCTTTTACGTGAATGAACGTAATTTCATAACCCCCACCGCATACCGTTAATTTTCTTGCAGGATCACTATACACATTGCCATTCATGTATGGGTTCACGTGTGCAGAACACTATATGCATGCATACACCGACTTACACGTTCTCTGCCAAGGGTGTGACGTGACTAGGTGATCAGCGGATGTGTGAGGTTCCGTGCACGCAAGCATGCGTCGGTCACGTCACACTTTCTACAGCGTTCTCTTCCACACGCGATGCATGTCGTGCAACGATCAGCGGAGGAATGACGTCATTTTGACGTGGCACAAGTGAACCCGGTTTCGCGAGTTTATACTCTGATATGTTAAAGTTCTTTCGGGGGCACGCAGCTAAACAGCTGAGAGTATCTCTTCGAGAAATTCGTTGCATAGAGCGAGGGCAGATTCTCAATCAACCATGCGATTCCCTGGGGGACCGTCTCGTTGTATCTTGGGTTAACCGCACCCAACGCACGCGCTAGGTGTTTTCCGAGAGACCACGTGCCCGCGTTGTATACGGATACGAAAACAGGCCCTCCACATAGGCTCGCGCGTAACACGCAGTACAGGCAAGCTTCCCCAACACTTGAAACATCAGTTTGAATCAAGAACGTGAATAGCTATACTCACTTTTTGGAATTCCGGCGACGCCGTTTGGTGGCGTACATCGCACTGAGGTGACTCATGCTGCTGTCCACCGGTCCGGGCACGTATCGTCACCCAGGAGGCAAGCCAAGCAGAAGAACGAACGAGAACCGAAACGAACCAAAACTAAAACGGCCGTTCACAGCTCCTGGAGCCGCCGAAGTATAGCGACGGACGTCTCCCTCGATCTTCGAGCAGGGGAATCGAGCCGGCCTCGTCGTATCTCCGCCGACGGGTCAGCACGGCGGCGGCGAAGGTTTCATGTCGTTCTCGGCGGTCCAACCCGACCGACGGGTAGGGGAATCGACGGACACTCCGAGACGAAAAAAAAGAACAGTGCCGATACACGAAACGAGCGACACGGCGAAAAAGAGAAACACCGGACGACGGCACTGCTTCGTTCGGCGTTGTCACTAGCTTACGATCGGCGGCATGGCGTACGCGACAGGAGCCACGGGCGGCGACCGCCTGTCATGACGGTGGGTGGTTGCTTCTTTGCGTCTTTTCGCCCCTTTTCGCACGCAACGCAGGGGGCTCTGATTGATGGCGGACGGGCCTCGCTCTCCGAGGGGGAGCGCTCCCCGCAAGCCCCGCCTCGTCTGGCGCCCCTCGGAGGAAGGAGGCGCGCCGACGCGGGCCAATCAGCGCAGCGAGTACTTGCTGGTGCGTGGCGCCATCTGTGAGACGACGAGACAAACAAAAAACCTGCTACCGCCGCCGTAGTCTAGTGCTTGCCTTGGCTTTCGAGAGCGGTTCACTGCTTGCCTCGTCTTGCAGCCGCTGTGCCGTGCGGACTCTTCGTACGTTATGTGACGTCGCAACATCTTCGCGTTTTCTACTGGTGTTTAGTGACAGCGAATAACAGAACAGCCTTGATATGATGTAATTCTAAGGCCACCTTCGAAGCAGTATTTCCACGGTATATAGTGCTTTGTCAGCTGATGTGGCTGCGTTACTTAGTACAAAGAGTTTCGCTTTCCAGCCGCGGCGTTTGAATTAAGATAACGGCTAGAAAAAAAACAAACATAACACTCGTATTTTAAATAATTTACGTGGAGTTTAAAGAACCCAACGAGGCGAATACTGATCTGATGTCCCCCTCCGTACAGTGTGCCTCATAGTTATGTCATTTGTTAATATCCTGTCGCCTTTAAGAGATGACTTGATTTTATTTATATGTGGGGTTTAACGTCCGAAAAATATGATTGAGAGACGCCGTAGTGCAGGGCTCCGGAAGTTTCTACCACCTGGGGTTCTTTAACGTGCACCCAAATCTGAGCACGCGGGCCTACAACATTTCTGCCTCCATAGGGAATGCGGGCGCCGCAGCCGGGATTCGATCCCGCGACCTTCGGGTCTGCAGCCGAGTAGAGTACATAAGCCACTATAGACCACCACGGCGGGGCGCATTTAAAGAGATGTACAAAGGACAACACGTTATCTGCGTAACAGATTATGGGACAGCCCTGCCATCGTATCATGTCTCGCGTTGGCATTACGAAAGTACGCTATACAGGGAATTCTCATTCGAGTGAGCTTCAAGAGATAAAAGGAAATAGTTAATTGAGTTGGAGTTTCCCCAAAACCGAACACAAAGTGCAATGCGGAAATTACGGAACAACATTCGGCATCCGCAGAAAAGAAGTCAGGCATGTCAAATAAGATTGATCTTGGAAACGAATCCGCAATATTGATTCGGATTCGCGCCCTTAAAGCGCAAGGAGAGATAAAACTGTCCAGACGCGTTTCTGTGAGCTACATTTAGCACAGCTTCTTACTGTCACATGAAGTTTTGCAACCTGCTCATATAAATAATAAGTACGAAATAACAATTAAGCATTCTCAATATACACCTAATTACACAACATTCAAGCAATACCCCCACCACACTGTGACGCATTTACTCGAGCTCCGCCCGGGGGAATATGCGGGCGCCTTTTTTTTTTTTTGTTATCTATAGCGACATGGCGTGACGTGCTCCCGTTGGAGGGGGGTGCGATCGTCGCCTCCACGGAGCGCGGTCTCTCCTGCGCGCGCTTATCAGACTCGTCATTCGGGAGAGGACGAAATTCACTTCGCTCGCTGCCGCGGCCGCGTTTACTGAAGGATCACTCTGCTCACACACGCACACACGCAGAAGTAAGAGTTGTGACAGTTGTCTGCGTTTGTCCTGTGTATACTTGTGCGCTCGTTTCGTGCGCCTTTCTTCTGTTTGAACAGCGCGCTTTAAGTGTCCAGCTGTGACAGTCCACGCTCGTCCTATGTATGCTAATTTCGTACGTGCTTTCGGTTTGAGGTGTGAGCAGCAAGTTTTGAGGTGCTTTTAGTTCGTCACTTGATTTTGTCATTTGCTGCTGCTGCTGCTGAAACAATGAGCAATGGGCGTCACCTACATCTGTAGAGACACGTTTCACTTTCGCGTTATCCCGATTACTAAATTAGGGAACCAGCCACGTTTTTTTTAAACACTATACTGTCGTTTTTTCGGCAGTTGTGGTATAGTCAGTAGTGTTGTTCACTAATTGTGGTATTTTCGTAATGATGTTCTATTTAACCGTTGATATAACAAAGAGTGCGCCCCATTTGGGATACGCCCATATTGATTCTATATATAGTGTACTTTTCTGACGAACTCGATTGATATGTGAGGTTTAACGTCCCAAAACCACCATATGATTACGAGAGACGCCGCAGAGAAGGGCTCCGGAAATCTCGACCACCTGGGGTTCTTTAACGTGCACCCAAATCTGAGCACACGGGCCTACAACATTTCCGCCTCTATCAAAAATCCAGCCGCCACAGCCGGAATTCGAGTCCGTGCCGATTCGAACCCGCGCCGGTCAGCAGCCGAGTGCCTTAGCCCCTAGACCACCGTGGCGGGGCTTTTCTGACAAACTCATCACTCCTATATATATATATCGACTCAGCCGATGCATACATGAGCAACCATTTTTTCGCAATGGGCCAAATCCAACCTAGCTCAGATAAAGTTGTCTTTTCAGGTACATGCCATCAACATTCCTCAAAAACATTAATTATAATGTACTAATTATTATTTTATTGTTACTGTGTTAAAGGAAAGTTGAGAGTATGCATGTGCAATACTGCCTTATTTGAGCTATAGTTTCAGTTGTGGATATGGCTGATTTATTTTTTAAAAAAAGCTCCCCATACTACACCATTTATTGTTGGTGAACTTCGTTCTTTTCGCACTTATATGTTTGGTGCCGGTGATTATTGACTGATTCCTCGGCATTTTATAGACGATTATATATAGAAGTTTAAGCAAACGCGATGACTTCAACCTGCCGTAGGTTCAAAAGGCAAACAAGTCCCAGAAGAATAGAGGCGGAAGAAATGAAAAAAAAAATGCCACTATCCAGGTGTAATTCAACATGGGTTGAAAAAGTTGACAACTTCAAGACGGACGAAAAGTGTACATATACGGCAGAAAACTTCTGAATTGACTGACGTTTGTTTTCACTTTATTATACACCAAAAATAACATATTTGCTCTTTCGTAGAGAATCCAGTCAGGCGACAGATACTAAAAGCAAGGGAGGAGTATAGGCGACATTATTTTTAGCTCTTAGCTGTATAGGCAGTACTTATGGCGTTACTGAAAAGGAATTGTAGGAGATGACAAATCTACTTTTCGCTGGAATATCTACTTTTTTCAATTTTATACTCCAAGCATCACTTCTTCGCGCATGAAAAATTTTGACGCCCTTATTTAAGATTGAATGGACTTTGATTCGAATTTCATAGCCTCTTATGGTCAGTGAAACGCATATACCTGCCCAAGCGCCCTTGGCATATATATACTATACAGATCTCATCAGTAAAGTCAATTCGTTTCAGGAGGGGGTAATTAAGTGGAAATTAACCTAACACGCTTCAGGAACAACCTTAAGTCGCAAAAGTCGAAAAAAATTTGCCGGACCCACACCTTGGGAATCGATGTTGTTATACCAAGTGTTTCAAGAAATGTGTCCAATATTCTTTAGAAACTGAAGAAAGGAGGTATATGCGCGCTATTTGTGGCGCTGCCTTTCTGTGGCCGAAGGCATCTTCAGTAGGGTACAAACATTAATTATGGAAGTAACTATATAATTTGACACAATTAAATGTTTAACCCGTGGTAATAGCCGGTCGAGTCAAATGGGCGAATTCAAGCCCTTCCGAATAGTCCATAGCCACTTCAAAATTTTGGAAAAGCGGCCACTGGTAATAATCACCGCGGAGCAATGCAATGAGCTTAACTTAGCTGGAGATACCGAAACCGACGCCCCAAGCAGCGCATCTACCATCCGCTTCAAGAATACCCTCAACGACCACACTGTTTCTCTCGCGTTGGGGGAGAAGAATAAGCGAGCGTCGATAAGCGGCCTCGAAGGGAACTGTCTAAATTGACGTTTGATAAGGGCGAGGGAAACAGTTGTCTCTCAGGGCTTTCTAGGCGACCAGGTCCTATAGTCATCTTCAGTATCACTATCAACCTTATACCTAGATTAATTTATACTCACAGGTGTTCCACGGCAGTGTCACTGATATACCTATTCAATATTTGTTGATCAGAGGCATGAATTACGCAGGCTGCTGCCTTGACCTCTCTCCCACCAACTCCGAAGTTCCGCGAAAGTTATTGATAAATAAATGTTAAGCTGTCACCTCTAGCTCCCAAAAGAAATTACCTTACTAGTTTAAAAGCACCCATACCTTGTTTTCGAAGCTACTATATTTGAAACACCGCCAAAGAGAGCACCAATTACGTGAGATATTGGTGTTTAAGAAGATTGACCCCATGGTTTAAAAAGCTCATGGAAGGCTAAGACGCATGAGTCGACTCACTCGGACTCAGATCGAGCCGTGAGCCTGATTCTGAGTGAGTCCGGTATAGAGCAGTGTTTCGGCGAGTCCGGTTGAGGCAAACTTTTTGTGAGTCTGAGTGATGCATGGAGCTCGAAAAATATTTCGTGAGCGAGTCTGAGTGAGCTCCACAAGTTTTGCCGACCACAACACGAAAACATTTCACGAGGTT